TTAATAAAAATACTAAGCTTTTTATTTTCCATTCACTAGAACAAAAACTACATGTGTTTTAATAAAAGAAGATGCCATAAATTTACACAAGATGTTACTCGAAATATGTTTTTTTTTTTCGAAAAACTCAAACGGGAACATTGATTGCCTTAAAAGTTTTGAAAATAATTTGCTGTATTTTTTTCAATGTTTTGTATAACAGTAGAAATGTTCTTCAGATTTATTAATCACTGTTTTATTTCAAAATTTACAGTCCTTTATGTGATTATAATTACTGTTTTTTTTAAGCAATTTCATACAGTCACTACGATAGAGGGTTCCTGGTTTTGTAAAAATTGAAATAGCTCTTATCCTGAAGGTCATTTCAAACATGAATAACAAAGTAACTCATTAAAATTGAAAAATTGAGAATTTGTTCAAAAAAATTTTGTACACAGCGGGCCCCGTTTATGTAATTTTTTGTACATTTTCACCAGTTTTTTTCCCCTTTTAATAATAAATTTTTTTTCAATTTAAGGTTGTTTCCTTAAAATATACTAAATAAATCTAAAAATCACAAAGAAATCCTCAGATTTCCATTTTTTCTAAAAAAACGTTGTCGCAAGTAGTCGGATACCTTAAGAGGTGTTGGAAACCTCTCTCTCTCTATACTTACAATGTTAAATTGGCTGTTTTCGATGTACCTTTTCTCAAAATCTGTTTTATGAACATGCTTGAAATTTTTCATACTATTAAAGTACATCTCTCTTATTATACTAAAATGAGCTTTTAGCTATTTTTGAATTTTTTAAGAAATTATGAAATATTTTATCAAACATTGCGAAATTTGACGCATTTTTTACTTAAAAAATTTGTAAAAATTAAATTTTTGAGTGTTTTAAAAAAAGCTCATTTTAGTATATATATTAGACATCATTATAAATAATTCATAAAAAAATTTACATACCTGTGAACAGTAGTTTCTCAGAAAAGGTACATCGCACATCAAAATTTACATTTTGAGATAAATTGATTTTAATGTATACAGTGAGACTTCTAATCGGCTGGGAAATAAAAAAATAAAAGGCTCAATTTAAAATAAAAGATAAATGTTTTGGTTCATATCAGTCTTTACACTATTAAGCAAAAACAAAGTAATTTGTTTACAATTTTCACCATTAAAATGGGCATGGCCCGAATTCAACGATTATTTAAAAATACGTTTTAAGGGCTTCTAAATACCCTAGAGGTTAAAGTAAGGTATTTTTAGAAAGGTTAAAATCTATACAATTTGAAAATGTAAAAATCTCAAATTGTCAAAAAAATAATATTTTAGCTTTCCAACACCCCTTAATTTAAATAATTCTATCTGTTGAAATCTGCAGGATGAAAATGATTTAAGTTCCACTTTTTTTTCAAAAAAGACTGTAAAAGGCTTAAAGAGCCACTGCTCGGAATTTGAACCTGAGCTGATTATACTTGAAGGAGGGAGATTATGGGGCTTAAAAAAATTCATTGGTGTTGCCCCAGGGCAATTAAAAACTGATTTTTCCGAGGCTTTTCAGTAACAATATTGGGAATCATTTTTTCCGATAAATTACTGATGCATTCATGCTTATTGAATAGTACAGTTGGTTTAATATGTAACTCATGCCAATGCCGTCGTAATTCGATTCAAAATGCCACTTTATAGCCGAATCCACTTTCGTTACGCTGCTTACAGCGCTATCTATTAATGCACTCGGGAACTTTTTTTCCGTATGGCATACCGTTACCTTATTTTCAAGTACATTCAGCTCAAATTCAGTGGCTCTTTTTACAGCTTTTTTGAAAGTGAAACTTTTTTTTTAATCACCTTGAAAACAAGATGAAGGTTTGATTGATAACAAAACTTATGATGTCAATTGTGGTTCAATTAAAAAGAATTTTTTTAAAGATTTTTATTGTTATTATTGCCTACTTGTATTTAAATTACATTTTTATATAGAGAGAGAAATTTGAATCTAATACTCGTAAATAAATGAAAGTTGTGCGTATGTTCCAAACAATAATAAATTTATTTCTTCAAATGTCTTATTGTATTGCAACTGACTATTATCATTTTCTCATTTTGCAGTAATATTTTTTTATTGTTAGAATTTACATGTTTCTGAAATGTTTGTTTGTCAAGTATTAATCGTAATTCTTTTGAAACTCCAAATAATATACATGATCCAAAAAAAAAATTAATCCGAAGTATTAGAAATAATTTTTTTGAAAGACCTATTTATACTGTCACGAGTGTGCGTGTTTTGTGTTTCCAAGGCAAAACTATGAAACAGAACTTTTTAAAAGTGTATAATATTTGTGATAAAATCGTTAGACATGTTCAGAAAATTGTGTCAGTAAGAAATTTAATGTCGTTTACATTTCAGAACTCGTTTCCAATATTAAAAAAAAATGGAATGATAGTTTTAATTATTGATATCTATATTTCATGACAGTTCCGTTGGATTTATATTTTTGTAACGCATTTGTAGTTATAATGTACAGTCACAAACCTGTACGATAAGTTTTGCGAGCTAAATAAAGTTAGTTTTTAATTTCTAACATTATGTAAAATAATTCAAATGTTATTCTTAGAAATCATTTAAAAAGGAAACCACATGGGCCCTTATCTTTAGACACGTTAAACATAATTTGCATTTTAATTATTAAAACTAAAACGTTTATATATAATTCAAGTTATTATCTGTATCTTTAAATTCAAGTATAATCAAAATATTTAAAATAGTTAACATAATTTTAACTTTTATTTTGATTTGTGTAACCTGATTTCTAGTATAATCAAATTAAATTAATATTTAAAAGAAAGGTAATTTTTAAGACTTTTGACTGACTTTACAGAAATATGTTATGTTATACCCTTATTTCTCTGTATTGTAAAAACTTGATTCACCTACGTTGCTAGTGGGTATTTCTCGAAGTTTGTTTAACATTCAAATCATAACCAAAAATTAATTTATGATGCGTAGCTTTTGCGTTTGACCTATTAATAATCACTTTAAATAAAGTTGTTAAAGTTACTTACGATATGTAACTTGAGAATGTTTTCTAAAAACTAAAGCGAAAGAAATAAAAAGGTATTAGAATATTTCAAAGTTTTAATTTATGCAATGCTTTAGTCAACACGCGAAATAAAGTCCTAATTCATGTTGTTTTGTTTTGAAATATCTTTCAATGTTTTTTTAAACTGTCAACATTCTCTTCGATGAATATGATACATTTATTTTAATTATGAAAATAAAACTGATCTGAACTATTTGTGAGTTTTATTAACGTGGCACTTAAAGCATCACGAGGGCTATTGGCAATGAACTTCGAATTTTGAACCTCGAACAAGGGACGAGGACGACTCTCCTAACTTCTACATCACTCCAACGAGAGAACTTTCAGCCGCGATATAGGCCTCGGTAGTCTAAAATCAAGGTAACGGAATCGTGACAGGCGTCCCATGAGTGCGAGTCTTCTACTGCTGAAACTACCACACCACAACAACGGGAGGATTTTAAGCTCTCGACAGATTTAACGTGCATCGATTCCCTACCCGGCGGGTCTTTAGTGGTACTGGGCTCGATCTCATGACATGCCTGTCATGATCCGATACCTTGAACACTGGGCTACCGCAGCCCTGCCGTGCAGAGGGAGGAGACACGTTAAATCCATCGAGGCTCAAACGTCCTCTCGTTGGTGTGGTGTGGAAGATAAGAGAGGAGGTGCCAGATCAGGTGTGGTCCTCATCACTAGACCAGGGTTTAAAATTGCGAGGTCCATCGTCAAAAGCCATCGAGTAGCTGAATAGTGCCACGTTAATGTTCACTCATTCAGCCGTCCGCAATAGATTTAACGGGCTCTAGCCCCTCTGCACAGTGGATCTCCAATGTCACCAGGACTCGAACTCGCGATTCGCTGGCTATGAGTTCGGAACCATTGACCACTAGGTTATCGCATCCCCTCTGAACTGTTAGATTGATCTAAAATAGGAAAAAAAATTAACGTGTGTTTTTTTCTCCTTGTACAAGATTAAATTATTTCTATTTGTTGGGATAAAAAAAAAATTCATACGTCAGTGAAGACATGTGGATCAGTTTTTTTTCCCTGCCCTCATATTCAGTTTTCATATTTATTATTATTCAGTTTGTGCGTGTAAGTTTGTAACGGGCCTTATCCGCGCCTTTTATTAATCCACTTGAGAAAAACATTTCTTGACTGTTGTATACTTATAAAATCACTTCCTGTGGAGAAGAACCGTGATTCATGCATATGTGTGTTGCTAGTTAAACTCTAGCGAAGTGAAAGTGAGGTTGGTGGTCGTTAGGCTGCTATGGATTTAGATTATTAGAGTTATAGTCGAAATCCTCGGGAGTTTCAGGAATAGGATCCTTCGTCTTACTGAACGAGATACCTCGTCAAGTCAGGGCGAGTACCATTACGTCGAATCTTAATGACAGATAAGTATTTCAGTTACTGGTTATAGATATTTAGATTAGTAATCAAGTTGACTTCTTCCTCGGTTTAATCAACCCTCTGATTGTAAATTGAAAGTAAAATAAAGTTATTGATTTTATTATAATGTCTGTTTTTTCGGCGTCTCCAACTTCATCAGCGACCGCAGGGTTGCGACAAATTCATCCTTACTTTTTTGCAAGTGCATTTGACTTTATTTCACACTTTAAAAGCTTGTACCTCCATTTTCAGTTCAACAAAAATGAATATCAGTTCTTTTTCAATTCCTACTATTAGTTCACAATCTCCCTATATACATATATATAGCGTGTTCAAATTTTCAGTTGTTTATAAAATACTTTCTATTCATCCATTCAAGTTCAAATACATTCTTTTAAACTAGTAGTAAATGACACTTGATGTTAATACAGTTTTTTCAAATATTAATTCATTAGTTATACTTAATTAATGAATAAATAATAATAAACAAAAATAGTAGTCCAACACCATATATAAAAAGGATAATCGCTCGTTGCATCCCTGTAGCGCAATGGATAGTGCGTTGGAATTCTAATCCAACGGTCGTGGGTTCGATTCCTACCAGGGATGGCCTAATTTCTCAGAATGTGATTTATATCAATGAATAAATAGAAACAAACAAAAATAATAGTCCAACACCCTACTTAGAAAGGAAAATGGAAAATCGCTTTCTATTTTGCCACTTAATACTGTGATTCTGTCATATGTATATACATATTTATATAAATTGTAATTATTTAATAAATGGTAACTAAAATTAAATTTTTCTTTGTTGACCTATATAGGAAATGACTTTAAAAAAAAATTTATATTACTTGTTATATATATTGTTTGTTGTTATGTCTCCTTATAACCGTGTTCTTTTAAAAATATATCATTACAAGATTATGAAAAAAAATAGTGGTTTGTATTTAGTCTTCACATAAAAGAACTATTAGAAAAATATTATATGCCCTGATTTCATTGAATTGTTTATTTCTTTGAAGGAAAATATCAGCAAAACGAGAATGGAGGTAGAAAAAAAAATGTAATAGATTGTGTTGTACAATTTATATTATTTTCTCCGTGGTTATTTTCAAATATTCAAAAAAATAATAATTTTTAAGGTTAAATGTATAAAAGATTTGTATTACGTTTCATCATATATTAACACAATTTTATTCCCAACATCTTTGTCTTTTAATAACGATATGCCCCAGTTGGTTTCTTATTTATTTATTTGTTTTGCCCGGGTTTTTTTCTCACTGCACAAGGTTTTGATTAATAGATATCCATACAGCGGTCATAATGCCATAAAAAGGGTGGGAAAAGAAAACTCGAATTCCTTTGGGAAGGACATAAAGCAACGGATTTTTTTTTTAGCCTTTTTTTTTTTCTCCCCAACTAAATGCATCCATTGGTATTAAAGCGCAATTAAGATGAACATTGGTTCCCTCTCATTGAGGTCATTTTACAGTCCAGTTCCTGCGCGTACAACACAGCCATATAACTTCACTAATGTAATTAAGCCTCCACAAAGAAGAAGAAAAAAAATTATCGCTATTTTCGATCTTTGTTACGCCATCCGTGGAAATTATTTAGCTTTTCTTTAAAAAAAAATCGCATGGAAAATTATATATTTATATTTTCCTTGAAATTAAAAGAAACGTCGAAATTCGAAAAATATCATTTGTGTTATCTCTTTTTCTTGGAATTAAGTATTTAAAGCTGTTTTGAAAACTTTAAAGGCATAGTATATTAAATTAGTATTGGATATTAGTTATTTCCAGTGACTAATTTGTAGTTCCTATTATAATTAGCCCAAAAGCTCTGCCGATTTTAAGGGAATCACTTCATGTGGGATTTTTCCTAGCTCCGTAATGTTAAAGTTTAAGGAACATTTTTTAAAAATTGTCTGGTCGTACAGTCGCCAATTTTTTTATGTGCAAAAAAAAAAAATTCTTTTCTTTCACATGGGATTGTGGATTAGTAATTACCATTGTTGAGACCTAGTACATTCCCCGGGAGTTGGTATCACTTTTTAGTGTGGCACTATATAAGTGGATCCTAATCACCACAATGTAATTTTGACACCGAGTTTCCTCCCGTAAGGGAGGCGCCTAAGCACTGACGGATTGAAATTGTACTAGGAATTTAATTTTGCCAACAGCATCTAAGTCAAACAGGTACTCGAATGATCTTTAACATGCCACAAACGACATGGGCGCTGTCGTTTTCTGCTTCATGAAAATCCACCGACTTTGGTCTGGGTCGAAACCTTAAACTTGGGTGTACAAGGCCAGCACTTAATGAACTACGCCACTCAGCTGGCATTATTAATCTCCCATTAAAATATTTATTTATATATTATAAAATTATATATACAATATTTATTAATATAAAATTAATAAAAAATAAAATATTTACTTATATACTCTCTATTAATGTCTGTGCAAAATTTCACAGTTATAAGACGAGTAGAATTTTCAAAAATATTCCTTTTCTATTATAGTTTACACCTTGAAGAAATTACGATTTAAAGTGGAAATTTTAATTTCATTAGAAGCAGTAGGGAATCATAGTTTACTTTCAAATAAAAATTAAAAAGTCAATTTTTCATTGATTTTCGTGAAGTTATCTTTAGTTACAAATATGTCGATGTACATTAACTAAGATTTCTATTTTCTTAACGATTGTTTAAGATTACTGCTAATTATGAATTTTTTATAAAAAAATATGTTTTAACGATGAATTTTTATTATAATTAGCGGACTTTTAAAATGAAACATGATTATCTGAAATTCTTAAAAAGCATAATATATGCTTTTTCCCTTGAAATAAAAATTAGTCATTGTTTTCCAGAATATAAAAGCAGTTATTGTTTTAATATTTCATAAGAAATTTGTCCTGATAAAATATGCGGGAGCAATTTCTCGAACAAAAATGATTTGTATTGAGGGGCGAAAATAATATTACAAAAATATGTCATGAACATTTATTGAGATCAATTTTAGTTTAAATGTATTGTGGGGCATTAATTTTGGTAATAAATGTATCATACTTGTATTTAAGTATTTCTTAAGTTTTTCGAAAATAAATTTTATGAATAGAAACTCTTCATATTAACATAAGATAACAGACATTTTTTTAAAGTAATAGGGAAATTTGATTTGCCTGATGATATTTTTTGAGATCTTACATAAAAGTAACATCTTACTAAAAATTACTCTCTCTTGCGAGATTTAATGCGTTGTCTTTTTAATAAATTTTTAATTTGAATTACACTGTGTGGTTATACATATGTAATTCATGATGGAATTGGTTTATTAGATAATTACTGAATTGTGTGGTTTAAAACCAGAGCTTCGAACCGGAACTGAACCGAAAAAAAGATTTCGGTTTATTTTCGATTCGATGTATTTTCAGTCATTTTGTTTTACTGCAACCAACTTTTCAATATTTTCTAATAAAACGTCAACCATATAATTATCATCGTTGCATGTCAACTCTATAGTTACATTTTTATTAATGATAGAATTACATTTTAGTACAAATAAGAATATACATAAAATAAAATTATTCATTCTGAACTGAATGAATCCGCCGTTATATATATATATTTTGCAGAACGAAAATCGCAACTGAACCGATATATATGAAACATTTCTATAATATTGTTGGCGACTATTACTGATAACTGTAAGATGTGGCGAGTAGATGTTATTACTGTAACGAAATGACCGGTCGTGGCTATTGGTGATGATTACTGTAAGGTTGATGTCCTATATTGCTGGGATTGATGAGGCAGTCCGTTGTGGTTAGTAATCCAGTTAGTTGCACATTTAACATATTGCGTTCCAACATAACAAGAAGCAGACAAGAAGACACATATTAAACACTAAACAGCACAACAAAGGTAACTAAGTTACTACGCGCTGCAGCCGGCTACATGATTAAGGACAAAGACAGAAAAATGGGATTTCCAGAGATTTCCCTATTTATACTCAGCGGGAAATCACATGATCTGGGTGGTGGCTGGATGTAGTTCCTAAAGTCCCCGTTTGGCGGGTAGCTAATTAAAAAAGATAAACAGTTGTCGTGAAGGACTGGACCACAGATAAATCGAAAGATATTAAAGATTAAATTACTGGGAATTGTTATATATAATTTAGTTGAACCGGAACAGAAAAAATTTCGGTTCGTAGCTCTGTTTAAAACTACGAGATTCTTCGCCTTTATTCGCCAACTCAGATCGATCAGATTTACTGTTAATTTTTTCAATGCGGGGTGTCAAACTTTTCATAACTAAGCAGAAATAATCTTTATTGATTTGATTTCTCATTAATCAATTTGACTGATTTAATCAGTGCATGAAAAGCTTTTTTTTTATTTCTATAATATCTTAATTTTTCGTGTATGTGGGGAAAACATGTACATAGTTGTGTAAAAAGTGATAAAAAGAGTTTTCATCGATTTGTACTCTTTTCTTTTACAGCTACTTCCAAAATGAATTGGTTGCTAATGATTTGAAGATATGTGATTTCCCACTTAAAACTCAGCGACCAGTTACTGCCATCAATACCAATTTGTCTCGTTTTAATAATAGCAGTCATCCCACGAATGGAAATACGATTCCTGCCTTAATCAACATTGGAACTCTATCCAGCAGGGAAGCGAATTCCTTGCCACGATTGAACAATCCCATTAACAAAGCTAATCAGAATATTAAGTAAGTGGGTTAATCCCTTCTCTTGTTTTTATTGACATTGCTGGGTTTTAAAAATATCAAATAATTTTGTATTTTTATTTCATTTCTTGTTTTGCTCATACTGGGGATTCATTCTATAATTGTAGCCTTTTATAACATAGTATCAGTGGCGTACGGAGGATATTAGGGCTCTGCAAAGAGGATCCGGTTTTGCCTTTATACAAACTCCGACAATAAAGTTTGGTGAATGAAATCAGGACGGGGCAGATCTGGCAAAAAAAAAACGCTGTCATGCATAGTGGCAGGTGTTGACCATCTGCCCTCACCGTTGTGCAATTGAGACTCATTTGTGTTCCATATCAAACTTGTTTAGTACGTTGGTTCTTAACTGAGAACTGGAAAATGAACGAACAAAAATCAATTTAAAGTTTTGTTTTAAGCTTCGCAAGACACCAAAAGAAATATATACGATGCTGATACGTGTTTATGAATATCAAGCTGTGATAATCCCCCCAGGGTGATTATCTCTAGGAGTATCAGCGTGAGCTAGAGGCGTAGGATTAACAAAAGAACTAGAAGGAAACATTATCTTAATATGACTTTATTAAGATATTCAACTTAAACCTTTAACAAATTAGATTATAATAATTTATGTGAGAATATACGATGGTAAAACACACCACACACAATATATTTATAATAACGACTTAACCTAACTCGGACCACTATCAATACTTGAATCGCTTACACTCAATTCTAATACAATCACTGATCCTAATATTAAATAATCAATCCTACCTTGTTTTAGTATCAGTAAACGATCACACTAGATTTAGATGAGGTCTTGCGATACTTCGTGTGCAATGGTATGCACCTTGATTAC